CGCAACTTGATATTTTGGTTGAATACGTCAATTTCATGAACCGGACGTGGGCGACAACAACTTTACTCTTATGTTGAAACATTGATATCTCCTTGTTGCAGCCAGTGTTTCATTGTTGCTGTTTTTGTTAATAATATAATTGTTAGCTACATGCAATCTGAGAAGTCTCCTGGGGTCCTTATGTTCCTTGTCTGAAAGATATACCTTGATATAGCTTTTAAATTTGCGAACAGATTATTAATATTCTCAAAGCGTCATCTTGACTTTCTAACTATCTCTGTTGAAATGAAAATGCATGGAATCGTGAAGTTGGCATCCATTTCTACTGAATGATAAGTATGAGATTTTTGTGATTTGTATAGCTTGTGTTTTATGGTAAGCCAATCAGAAAGTTTTGTTTCTTTCATTAGGTTGATTGGATAGTCCAGTTTGATCCACCGGATGATCCTAACGACTATATTCATCGTGTCGGTCGAACTGCTCGTGCAGGAAAATCGGGGAATGCTCTTCTCATACTTCGTCCCCATGAACTTGGATTTCTAGATGTTCTGCGCAGCTCTAAAGTCACTCCTGTCGAGTACGAGGTGGCGGCGGGGAAGGTGGCGGATGTACAACCAGCTCTGGAGAAGCTTATTTCCTCTAACTACTTTCTGGCAAATTCCGCACATGAGGCTTTCAAGGGCATTGTTCGGTCCTACAATTCCTCTAAACTGTCTTGCTTCAATGTCAACGAACTGGATTTAGCAGCTCTGGCTAAGACTTGTGGTCTCCAGATTGTCCCCAAAGTAGATTTGGGAGTGGAGCCATCGATGAAATTTGATGCGAAACGAATGAAGCGGAAGGCCTTCGGGGCTGTGGCTGTGCGAGCTGCAAAGAAAAACAGGCTTTACAAAAAACTGCGGTAGCATATTTACAAAGTGTGTTTTAATTGTACAAAAAAATTTAAATACACTTTGCCATTATTAAATGTTGGCTGCGATGTGAGTTTAGGAGAATAAGGATCGCCAGAGCACAGTGGTTAATCCTCAATGTTGCTCTTGGTTATTTTGGTGGGTCTATGCGATTATAGAGCTGTGATTATCTGTGAGTTGGAAGTTACTACTAGAAGTTAAAGTGATTTCGGTAAAGAAAGTTGCAAGCATGCTTTGGAACCCATAGTAAGAACCAAAATATAGCAGTTCTTTTTTTGGAAGGGGGATTGAAAGAGGTTCTTATACGGCGATTAGATTTTCTGACTTCAGGTATTTTGCGCTCGCGATGACTTCCACTGTCGTAACTCTGGAGTCCCAAGACATCCAATTTAGCTGTGAAAGATACAATAAGCTTTTGAATGCTTGTATTCGGAAAAGTATTAATGACGAGGCTTCAATATAGCCCCAGCCGAGGGAAATTGGCAGAGTTACCGCCACTTATGTGGACAGCCGCTAGTATAAGTGACTAAACTAGCACAAATCGAGCCACAGCATAAGTCAAACGGTGTCAAGCAATCAAGGTAACTCAGTGCTTATCACGACGTAGAAAGTGGACAATACCTGACCTAACTATAGTTCAGGGTTCAGTCGCAAGGAGTTATAACAGCATAGATAATTCCTCAATCTGTTTGGTAGTGCAAGTTTAAACCGATTCAGAGTGAAAGTTTGGAGTAGAGGGTATAGATTGCGTAAATTTTACTACTTTATTCATTATTTAAAAATTTACACGCTCTTAGCACGCAACCAATGCAAGTGAGTGCAACAAGCAAAAATTAACATTATTATGTTATTAAGCTTATAAATTTGCCAGTAAAGTCATGTTAACCTTAGGACTAGTTTTAATGCACCAGGATTTAAAACCATAAAAGGGAGCAATTTTGATCTTTTAGCAATGATTGGTCTTTACTTTGGGGTTGGGGTGGTTGGCACATTTTGATATTGTTTAGCATTCTGAACTGACTATTTCCCTATACATCGACTTAAAATGTTTGATCAAAGCCATTCAACAGCTTTGTTCCTTCTTGAAGTCCTCTTGAACCATCAGGGTCCCATTCACGTCTCAGCTCTTTATTTATCATTTCAAGCATCTCTTAATAATGTACATGGGTATATCAACCCATATGGTGTAGCTCTCTCTGTGAGCAGCACATCGCTTGCTGAATTTATCAAATTTCTTCAGAGTTTCCCCTCTCTCTTTATTATTGTTGGAAATTATGTTTATCCAACTAGTCAGTTGGATTTCGAGAATGGATCACATGCTTTGCAGCAAAATTTGCCTTATGTTGACCCTGCTTGCGCGTGTATGATTCAGCCTGGTCCCGAGGTCTTCCCACCACCTCCTGTTATTCCTGCTTTTGTTGATCCTATTCTTCGAAGAAATACGATGGCCTTCTTGCAAAATTACCTAATGACATGCGGATCACACCGTTACATACCCTTACAGAGATTGATGGGCTGTCTGTCTTATGTTTCACCTGTTGTGCGTGCTGCTTTGCCTAACCTTAAGGCCCTTACTGTTTTTTTGCGACAATACCCAGAGATTTTCCATATAAAAGATGGTATGGTAGGATTGACCAAACCACGGCGTAATTTTCGACAAGTCTTTCAATCGGATACGGGGGACGGAAACGTTGCTACAGCTGAAGATGGTACTGCTGAAACTCTTAAAGTGGAGGTTGTTATTTCAAACTCCAATGATTTTGCCAACGTCAAAACTGTAACGCTGCCTGCTTCGGACTTTTCTGTAATTCTCGTCCTTCGGCGCATTTTGCGGCAAGCGGGTGAAGACGGACTTCATGTTGCCCTTGTCATCAAGCAAATTATTGAGTTCCCGTACAATGTCCAAAAAATTGTCGGCCTTACCCGATTCGAGCTGCACTCTTTTGTTGAAAAATACAGGGAATTTTTTGACATCCTACCATTGCCAGTTGATGGAAGCTCGACAAATGGAGAGGACAAACAGGTCGATTTGAAAACGTCCTGCAAAATTCCCAAGAGCTTTTGCCTTCGAATAAATGCAAATGCCCTGTACATGCGCTCACGTATACTGGATAATTCACCTACCCAAAATGGAAGTGGAAAGGATCCTTCAAGACTAAAACAGCACGTTGGTCGTGTCTTTCGTGTGGCTAAGTCTTGGGGAATTATTGATCTTGGCAACCATGTTCATGTCTTCTTTGACAAGTCTATTTTTCGGAATGTTTCCGATCTACAAAAGGTCTTTCAAGTAAGTGTTATGGTATCAAAATATTTTTCCCATCCCCTATTCACATAATTTCAAGCTGCCTAGTTTTTAGGATTTTTACCGTTTCGAGATAATTTACTAGTCTTCCTATTTACTTCTTTTCCTCTAATGCAGTCCTTGGCTACTACAGTACCTATACTTTCCCTTCCAAGATTCAGTTTAATGGGTATTCGCTTCAGTAATTAAGGTGTCATTATATGGGAGGACACGTGCTCTTGCTTTGTTAATTATTGTTCAGCACCAAGCCTCAAAGCATGCTGTTTACTTGTATTTCCCTATGTATTCACTGCTGTCTCTTCTTTCATCCGTTATGTCTGTTCATTTTGTCCTCCAAAAGCATGCATCATTTCATTGTCGTTTTCGATTTCACTCAGAACAATAGTTGTTATGGCCATTGTTTTGCTTATATGGGATTTCAAACAAATCTGCTCGATATGGGTAAATATTCATTCTGTTTTATAAAAGTTCTTTACTTAATTCTTTATTAGCTTCAGGTTTATATCTGATATAATCTTACGCAGTTTTGGTCTACGCGTGTCTGACTTCGAAGCATTTCAAATTAAAGCACTATAAGTGGCTTCTTATGTGATTTTCAGGCTTCCCGACTTTATCAGTCAGTAAGAAAGGCGACTGAATTGGTTGTGCGATCCTGTTCCGCACTGCAATGTAAACCAAAGTTGCATCTTTATTAAATTGATTGGAAATCTGGCTGTTTGGGTACTTTATTAGGTAATTTTTATGCCTAGTAACTGATGAAGATCCTTTCGTTGTTTATAGTAGTGTGTTATCTTTGTGCCAGCTTCCATTGGCCTGTTCGACTTCGGAATATTTTTACCAAACTCTGCGTGGGCATCAAGCAGATGGCTTAAGTTATTTCATCCACGAATTCATAAGGCCACAGAAGTCAATGACTTTTGCGTGGCGAATCAATGAATTAATAATCAAAA